ACATGTTTAATCATAAACTGGCTCTGTTTTAACTCCAAAATATTAATTCTGTTGGACAGGATCTGCTTCCAATTCGATCGTATGTGTACGCGGAGGAGCCAAATATCGACATTCACAACTTTGTGGGAACTTTTACCAGGGTGAGTACACGTGTCTGAATGTAGAGTCCTGCCTTAATGTAGGATGCATGTCTCTGGTCGAGGCCTGTGGGGAAGTGTGGGTAGTTCTTTGTGAGGACACAACTGTGTGCCATGCCAGGTAGGAGTCGGGCTCCCTCGTGAAGGCCCTGCCTTGAAGGCTGGTCTGTTGTTTCTCAGTGAGGCTGACACAGTGGGGTTTCTTCCAGCCTCAGAGCAGCTGTAATTACCTGCAACCCAGAGCCAAGTGTCGTTATAATCTGCGTTAACGCTGATGTCTGAAAGCACCTGCTCTCTCTCTCCTTCGAGTAGGTCCTTATCCTCTCTCTCCACAACTCCTAGTGCTGTTGTAATGTCCATTTATGGTATTGTGAATATGTATGTATCATAACACATTTGCCAGTTCAGCAGTTTTCACGCGTACAGTGACATTGACGACGTTCATTGTGTAGTACGGCCATCACCACTTTCCTTTTCCGGATTCTTCCACCACCCTTAGCAGAAGCTCAGTGCCCCTGGAGCAGTAACTCTCTTTTTCCCCCGTCCCTCCCACCCCTGATAACCACCAATGACCTTTGTTCTCTTTATATTTGCTTATTTTGTGTAAGTGTGATCGTTCAATATTTGTCCTTTAGTGACTGATGTATTTCACTCAGCCTCATGTTTTCAAGGTTGATCTGTGTTGTAGCCTGTATCACCACTGCTAGAAATATTAAGCCCCCTCTGGCTTTTCAGAAAGGAAGTTAAAATTGAATTCAGATCACTTTAGGAATATGAGACAGTTACTTTGTAGGACCCCAATGAAATTGTTGATTTTTCTTTTTCTAAAATAATACTTTATTGTGCTTTTGGTGAAAGTTGACATAGTAAGTTAGGTCCCTGTTTAACA